AAACCCCTAAACCCCTGAACCCTTCAAAACCCCTAAGCCTCCAAACCCCTAAACCCCCAAAAACCCTAAACCCCCAAACCCCAACCCGAAGGGAAGCAGAGGGATCGCCGCGCCTGAGCCCCGTGAAGCACATGAACCTTCCAGCCCGCCTCGCCCCGAGGGTCTGGTTTAGGGGTTTGGAGGCTTAGGGGTTTTGAAGGGTTCAGGGGTTCAGGGGTTTAGAGTTTAGGGTTTAGGGGTTTAGGGGTTTAGAGGTCTAGGGGTTTAGGGGTTTAGGGTTTAGGTGTTAGGGGTTTAGGGGTTTCGGGTTTAAGGGTTTTGGCTGTTAGGCTTTAGAGTGTGGGGTTTAGGCTTTATAAGGTTTGGGCTCTAGCACTTATCATTATGGTGTAGAGCTTTTAGGATCTAGGCTTTAGGGTCTACGTAGGGCGTAGGGTTTTGGCTTTGGGGTTTGGGCTTCAGGGTTTAGGGTGTAAGCTCTAGGCTTTAGGGTTTGGGCGTTTGGGTTTAGGGTTTTGGCTTTCGACCTCGGGCTTAGGATTTAGCGGGTAGAACATGGCTTTCACGAGTTTTACTGGGGGGGCCAAGGGGGTTTTGTCGGGTTCCTTTTCGACTAATCGAAGCTTGGTTATTCAACTCGGGTTAATTTAAGGGGGTGTATATACTCTAACAACCCTTGCCTCTTTTACCAAACACACGACAGTTGTACCGTCTGTTGTAGTCGTATGGCTCTGGCGGAGCAGTGCTGGGCCTTGGGCGGCGTTCAGCCGCATAATTGGTGATAATGTCCACCAAGGCTGCCGTGGCTTCACTTCCCGCAGCACAAAGCCTCAGGCTCATCCCGATCATCGGTCGTAGCAGGTTCTGTCTCCACCGAGCCGTCCATGCTGTTAAACCTCTCAGCTTGCAAAAGGCAGCTTCAGGGCCCCATGAACCCCTGAAATACCAGAAAGGCTGCAGACAGCCCTAATCGCTAATCATAGTGGGAGAACCTAAGGAATGGGTTTAGGGTTTAGGGTTTAGGGTTTAGGATTTAGGGTTTAGGGTTTAGGGTTTAGGGTTTGGCTATTGCATTCAGACCATCTTGTTCCACACGACTCATAGACTAAAGCCTAGCCAAGCCGACCAAACAAAAACACACCCCAAAAACCTAACGACGGAAACAAGCCCAAACCCGGAAGGAAGTCTAATATGGGGGCCTAAACAATTAGCAATACTATTTTGGGGGTTCCTTATTATAACTATAGTATAAAGGGCCCCAAAACCCTATTCTAATTACTAAGGCCCCTATGTTAAACTCAGCCGCAGAGCCTAAACTCTGAGTTTGCAGAGACCCTGAAACTCTGGGTTTCGGATGCCAGGAACCCTTGATACCCAAACCATATTAATACTTACCTATACTATTTGGTGGTTTCTTACTATAATTATAGTAGACTATATCCCCAAACCCTATTCTAAGGCCCCTACCTTGTCAACCTTGTATAAACCCTGAGCCCTAAACCCCCGTGAGGTTCCAAACCCAAAATTCCTCTCAGCCCCCATATCCTAAACCGCACATCCCCAAAGTCCTAGAATCTTCTATAAGGTTGATAATGCAGGGGCCTGAATAAGTAGAATAGGGGTTGGGGATATATTATACTATACTTATACTAAGAAACCCCCCAAAACAGTATAAGAAATTACTACTGCCCCTACGTTGTACGGTTTGGGAGTTTATGGTTTAGGCTGCGAGTGTCTCTGTAGGGCAAGGCTGGGGGGTGGATTTCTCTGATGTCTAGTGGCTTGGGGTGCAGAGCTTTGGGCTCTGGAGGGTTTGGACCTAGGGTTCAGGGCAGCATAAAATATGCCAACTATGCCCAAAGCTCAACGAAAGCTGCAACCCTATGTAACCGTAACCTCCAATCCTGAACATCAACCCTTAAGCCGTAAGTGCTAGCGCAGCGGTCTGAACAATTGGTCATGCTTCGCCCTTCTAGTCCCGATGCGTGTGTCTGTGTGTGGACATATGTACAAATACGTGTGTGTATAGATATACACACATATAAATATGAGTATACATATATATACATATATATATATATATGTGTGTGTATACATACATACATATATATATATATATGTAGATGTGCGTGTGTGTACGCATGTCTGCGTGCACATAGCTATAAAATATACCCATATTTTCAAGTGGAGACCCCTAAACCCAAAACCCTAAACCCTAAACCCTTAACCCTAAACCCTAAACCCTAAACCCCTAAACCCTGAAACCCTACACTGTGAAGCCCAGAGGTGCCCACCTCTGCCGCTTTCTTCACTGCGCGGACATTGTTCCAGCGGTGCGGAACGATGGGCTGCCTAAGCAGGGGAGCCTTCTCTTAAACACTCCGCGAATATGTATGTGTCTGTGTATGTATATATATATATATATATATCTGTATATATATATATATATATGTACCTGTGTGTATGAATAGTTATGATCGAGAGAGAGAGAGAGAGAGAGAGAGCGTGTGTGTGTAACCGTTTGGGGTCTGTTCTCTGTAAAGAGTACTTACTTTGTGCTGATTGGTTCACCAGGGTTTTGGGGCTAGTAGGGAATGTTCCCTAAACCAAGCATTATTTGAACCCTTCGGGACCTCGGGATTCTCGGTAAGTTGTAAGTCCATCTTCGAAAGGATGGAGGACAAGCGTAAGAAGTGAGAAGCGCCACCAGAGCGGTAAGCAGTCCAGCTGCTACAGACTTCGCCTCCGGATTTTAGTTGCTGGGCAACAGAATATCGGAGCACAGAATAATTATTGAACTTACGTTTCGGGAACCAGGAAAACCGGCTGAGCAAGAACAGGACGATCCGATATCCTCGACTACTTGCGTGCGTTGAAACATGCACGCGTACGTCACTACACACCCCTAGCCACCTACCTACCTACCTACCTACCTACCTACCTACCTACCTCCCTACCTGCCCCCCCCACCTACCTACCTATACACACCTATATACCAGACAGCAGACACACATGCACACCCTACTCCCCTTCCTGCCTACCTACCTACCGACCGACCCACCTACCTATCTTGCGGCTTTGCAAAGGGATGTATGTATAGCTGTATGTGTGCAACTATCAGAGTAAGCATATCTCGCGCGGTGAATTGTTGGCTACCTGGGTTCGGGAACTGGCTGCGTCTGAGGAGTTTCGTCATCATCCTAAACTCTTAGCCCTCGATGTCGGCTCGCAAGGTGCCTTTGCTGCAAGGAGATTGGAGATTCTTTTGTCGGGCTTTGCACGAGGGCCACACTAGGGTTACGCGTTGATAATGGGGAGGGCCCCTGTGATCTGAAGCTTCGGGCGTAGTTCAGGGCTGCAGGGAAGGAAGGTCAGCACGTCGGATTCACATTCAGGAAAAGCTACAGTAGCTGCAGCTAGGATGACAATTTTGCGGGTTCAGGACTTGATGTTTGAGGCGAGGGTTTGGGTTTGAAAAAAAGACGTCTTCAAGCATCAGTTGCCGCAAAGGCACAGTAAGGTCACCAATGCCGGCCGCCCATACCTGCTAAGGACTTAGGCTAACCAAACGATCGGACCAACAGCAACAACAACAATGATGGACACGACCAGCAAGTAACAAGGAACGAATCCTTCTTCAACACCTTCACCCTGAATCTTAAGACCTGAACCCCCAGAACCCAGAGCCTCGAACCCTATGAACCCCACAACCCTCGTAGTAGTAGAGGTAGTAGCAGCAGCAGCAG